AGATCACCAGTACGATCAAAATGCCTACTGTGGCTCCAACAAAACCTACGACAAATATTGCTAAAACCACCGCATCACAGATAACTACAAAAAAAATGCCAGTAAAAGCCCATACTAAAGAAGTCACAGTACAGAATGGAGCCAGTAAACCGGCAAACAAAAAAAATCCACAAAAGCCGAATAAATCGGCAACCTCTGTTCAAATTGATAATTCCAATATCAATCTATTAGTTGAGGAACTCTTCGATAGTAATAAAAAGTTAACCAAAGCGCAAGAGAAAAAAAAGGAGCAATTGGAAAAGTATTTATTGGATCAAATGCAGACCGGTGGATCCAATGGTACAAGTAGCACTTTGGAATCCGAGATATATGATGACGAAGATGAAACGAACAGTAAGTACTAAGTGAAGATCACAACACAGTTTTATTTATATTAAGATATTTTTAAGGTTACTCTAATTCAGAGAACGAAGTGAGTAGTAAAACGTCGTCAGAAGTGCTTACCAAAACATCCAGCTCAGAGCCAGCGGCTAAACCAAGTAAAAATGGCATAAAACGCAAACATGACACTGCGTCAGCTTCTACAAACAAGGAAGAAGCAATTATAGAAACTAGTGTAGAAGCTAAGAGATCCAAAACACAAAATGTTAAAAATGCTGAAACATTCAACCGGAAATCTACGTCTTCGTTAAAAGAAAGTAAATCAAAGCTACAACAAAAGCGTTCACTGGGTGGTACAGCTATTGCAAGTGATAAAGAAATAAAATGCACACCACATAACGTAGGTGCTGATATCAAATTGGAACCACTTTCACCACCGCATAGCATAATAAAAATGAATAGCATAAAAGAGGGTGAAAAGATGTTCCATTGGTTATTAAATCCAGTGGAAATCAGAGATTTCTTCACAAAATATTGGGAAAAAAATGCTTGCTTTATTAAACGCCAACATGCCAATTACTATTCTACGCTAATCTCTTTTGAGGCCATTGACAAAATGCTTCTTAAGAACTATATTGAGTTCACCAAGAATATTGATGTCACCAGCTATGAAAATGGTTAGTCATAACTGCAGTATATAAACTGTTTTGTTGTATATGAAACTATTTTTATTTTATAGGTGTACGTATGACGCACAATCCAGAAGGACGTGCAATGCCACCAGTTGTATGGGAGCATTATGGCAGAGGCTGCAGCATACGTTTGTTGAATCCACAAACATATTTGCAACCGATTTACACGCTAAATGCTTCAATGCAAGAGTACTTTCAGTGCATGGTTGGTGCTAATGTATATCTAACTCCACCCAATAGTCAAGGTTTTGCACCACATTACGACGATATAGAAGCATTTGTGCTGCAGGTGGAAGGACGTAAACGTTGGAGACTATATAAACCGCGTAGCACAAGTGAAATGTTGCCGCGTGTTTCATCGAAAAATTTTGAACAAGCGGAAATTGGTGAACCTATAATGGATGAAGTGTTGCATCCAGGAGATGTACTCTACTTTCCACGTGGTGTTATACATCAAGCATGCACTGAACCAGGTTACCATTCGCTGCATGTGACTATAAGTGTTTATCAAAAACATTGCTATGCTGATCTTATAGAACACATGATGCCCATGATCTTACAGCATGCTTTCACCAATAATCTTGATTTAAGACGTGGAGTACCAATGCATATGTGGCAACATGCTGGTCTAACGTTTAGCGAAAACGATACTAGAGAACGTGCTGATTTGTTGAAGAATGTCTCACAACTAATAACGAAATGCATGCGTGATTTTCCTCTTAATGAAATTCTCGATGCTTCTGTCGATCAAATGGCAAAGAAATATCAGCATGAAGCTTTACCACCAGAAATACACCCATCTGAATCAATACGCACTATATTCGGTTCACGTAATCGCACCAACGAGAAGGGTGAGTGCATTTGTGATGATTATGACATTGATTTAACAACCAATGTACGACCTCTACGTGCTAACATTATGCGTTTGGTTAATGAAGATGGAAAATTACGCGTCTACTATTACTTAAATAATTCCAAACAGTATTGTGAGTATGAGCCAAATTTTCTTGAAATCGGACCCAATGATGCGACCATCATTGAAGTGCTCATCAAATCGTATCCAGAATATGTGGGCGTTGGTCAGCTGCCTTCTGATGATGAGCAGCATAAAATTGAAGTAATAACTGGTTTATTTGAGTTAGGTCTAGTGATGCTAGAGAAACCCATTAAATAAGTAAAGGCTTTTTAATTGAAAATTTATTCTTTTTGATGTTATAAAACCAATGTCTTATTTTCAAATTATCAAGTCTGCTAGTTTAAGAAAATTTTTTAACAACTAAACAAAATACTAATTGCATTATCTAGAAATATGATGTCTAAAAAAGGAGACTACTATGTAAAACATATAATTTTTGTTAAATGCTAAATTATGTTGTATATTCCTATAAAAACTAAATTGATTGTTATTTTAATATATGTCACATTGTGGACAAATTGACTATAATTAATAATTTGTTACTTTTTTAAATATCCATATCCATATCCATATATAGCCCGCATCGATTATGTAGTGAGCAATGGACGATGCTTGCTCGTCAAAAGTGACACATGGCTTCGGAATGTAGACCCGGCCGTTTTTGGAAGCACTACTAGTTGTTGTAGGTCTCAGTAGTCTGATGAAGCTTTTACATTTCACACACTCGGTTACTACTTAAGGGTTTGAATAATGCTTATAGTCTTCTATGATAATTACTATTTCAATTCTTTGTAGATTAGATACTAATTGTTACGATTGTCTTCCTCTCAGAGTACACAGAATATTATATCCACAAGCTAAGCCTTTATAGAATGATACTATAGTTATGTGATATTCTAGATACCCAATTTTTTGTAGCTTAGGTATTCAATCTTGCGTGTTTATTTTCTAAATAGGTGTATACATTATTACCTCTTCATTATTTATATAAATCTTTCGTGTCTAGAAAACAGATATCTAGAAATCTGCTCTAAGAGCTTTGTAATAGTAAATGATATATATTATGTGATACAATCATAAAATAGTTCTAGTTCCAAGTACGACGGTGTCACTCTTCAACCACGATAACTAAGTGCCGTTCACTATCTTCAAAGAAATTTAATAAACAGATCCCTGCGAGCTACTACAACAACAAGAACATAAAATAGATCTGTGCTGAAGATAATTAAATTGACGTTTCACACTGTGGGCCACTACTTAAGGGTTTTAATAGTGGTTCTACTCTTCTACGATAATTAAAATTTCAAATCTTTGTAGCTTGGATTTTAAGTGCTACGATTTTAAGAGTTCTGTAGTAGTAATGTAAAGATCGTATACACAATCATGTATTAGATCAGTGTAGCAGTTCATTGAATTCCGAATATCGATGGATTTGGTACTCTGTCATTTATTTTTATTTTATTTTTTATCTTTGGTTCTCACAAACCCGTTTTATAATTTGTTCAATATTATTTTTGATACTGATAAAGAGAGAGAGAGAGAGAGAAAGAGAGTATTTATATTTATATTCACTTGGAATTGAAGCCTTAGATTATATTTGCGATCATATATTAGATCCGTATAGGAGAGTTCATTGACTTTCTAATATGGATGGGTTTGCTACTCTGTGATTTATTTTCAGTTTGGGATCTTTGATCTTCTCACAATCTTGTTTTATAATTTTTTAAATATTATTTATAATACTAATAGACAGAGAGAGAGAGTGTCTTTAACATCACTTAGGTCTGTAATCTATAGAAGCACTTACTTCATATTTTTCAACGTCGGTAACTTATTTGTATAGTAGCTGGATTTATTTCGAATTTAATATTTTTGAGCTTCTATTATGTGTATTGATCTGTTAATATCATGTAACAGCCAAAGGGACTTGAGGGGTCGAAAAAACTCTTTTCCCCTGAAATGAATCGAACAGTTTAAATTTGTATGTTTTATTTACAAAATCCGATTACTTTCTGAGCAGAAGGTATCTTCAATATTTTTTTTTGCTGTTCTCTTGTGTTCAGATTTATTAATGTTTTACTGTACTTATAATCTACATTTCCATACAGATAAGTTCTTATGAAATTTCTTTTCTTATTTCATTTCTTCTCTTTTTTTTATCATGTGGTATCGTTTTTCTCTCTCCCTGAGATGTAAAATCGAGAGGTTCTATTTTATTTATAATCAAAATTTCTTTTCAAAGAATATCTTACAGGTTTTTTTGTGCTTCTATTATGGGAAGCAATCAGTTGGGAATTCTTGAGGTTTTATTTTATTCTACTTACAATCTAAATTTCCATTAAAAAAGCTTCTTATGGAAGTTATTTTAGTTCTATTATATGGAACCGGATTACTTTCTTCCTGGGATGTAAAATCTAATGATTCTATCGTGTTTACAATCTGAATTTATTTTCAAAGAAGATCTTACAGGATTTTATATTGTTATAGGTTAGGTTATATTGTTTTCACAATTTAAATTTCTTTTTAAAGAAGATTCAATAGAATTTGCTGCTGCGATTATGTGACCCTTTTTTCTTTTCCTCTGAGATGTGAAATCCAGAAGTTCTATTGTATTTACGATGTAAATTTTAATTCAGCGAAGATTGCATAAGATTTTATCTTTGCTTCTATTCTGTACACGGTTTGCTCCTCCCTTGGGATGCGAATTATAACGGTTTTGACTGTATTTACAAAATATTCTAATTTAATATATTGGAATATGCATCATTTTAGTAACAAATTTGCAGTTTCGAAAGTGAAAAAATTATTCTCTTTTTACATTCATTTATTTTGAGTGAAAGTATTTTAACAGATTTAACAACCTTTCAGAAATTATAATTTATTTGTAGTTCTAAAATTATAATTAAATTATTTAAAAAATTGTATCCGACCTCCTATATCATTAGTCATTACTGCAATCATCTCTATCATTACAAAAATAAGTGTCTATGAAATCATTGGCCTTTTTATAGATACACTCATTTTCATGTTGCTGTAAAGCCTCTATCTTATCCAAGCCATTGATTTCCTCCAAAGTAATACACAGTCTTTTCAAATCATCGACGCTCTCATATAGTTTAAATATTTTTCCTAGTGCGCAGAGAACGATTAATATAGTATCTGCATCTTGTGCCTTTAGTAAATCAGTAAATGGTTTCAACAATTGATATTCATTCAACATATACATTATTTGCTCCGGGGAACCCATTGCTATAGTAGTACTCACAGCTAATGCAGCCTCAATTTTGCAATCGAAATCATTTTGCTCCAGTATATGACGTATGTAGGTAAACAAATCGGCATTTAAAACCGCTTGAATTTGATTTTGATTACCGGCAGTTAAATTGCTAACAATCCAGGCCGCATCTTTCACAACCAACTTATTCTCATGTTGTAATAATCCAACCAACTTTGGCAAAATCTCGGCTTTAATTACTTCATCGGTCTGAGCATCTGTGCCAGTAACTATGTTGCCAATAGTACGTAGTGCAGGTATAATAATGGTATTCTCTTCACAGTCTAATATGTCAATAAGACGCGGCACGACACCTGCATCAATCACGGCTTGAATTTTAAGTTTATCATTGATGGTTATGAAAGATAATGCAAAACAAACATTACTTAAAACCTGCTTATCACTGATATATAGCAACTGTGACAACAATGGTAGCAATTGTCTTATATTCTCGAATGGTGGAGAAGTATTTATATTACAACATAAATTGGATATCAACCATACTATTATCCGTAAGAGAGATATGGGTATTTCATTTACTAACAATGGCAGTAAACTGTCTATAATGTCATGATTGATAACTATATTTCGAGTTACCGCGCTATTACTAGCAATAACAGCTAAAGTCCAAGCAGCTAGTTCAACATGAATAGGTACTTTTGATTTCAAAAGATTAATTAAATGTGGTACTGCATTATATTGTATAACAGACATTATTTGTTCAGTAGTACCAGATATAATATTGGCTAGTACCCAAGCTGCCTCAAATTGCAACATCGGTTGGGAATTATCTTGCAACATTTTAACGCACACCGGCACAACAGAATTACTTATCATAATCGCATTTGCTTGATTTTGTTCACAATCAAGTATGTTACGAACCTCCTGAAAGCCAATTAACTGTTGTTTCTTATCATCGCTATGCAATGCATGGAGCATTTCCTCAACAGTCATTCGAATTGCTGAAGACTCTTCATTATCTTCCTTAACAGGTAACGCTTCATTTTCATTAATATTACGGCGCTCATTTATTTGATGCTCCTTCTTGGATTTGCGTAACTCAATAGTGACCTGATGACGACGATTACGAAATTCTTGAAAATTAAGAGTATTGCTCTTGTAAGAAGTTTCATGGTTTGATACTGATTTACTCATTTTGTTGTAAGTTTTAAGTAAATAATATTATATATCAATTTATTTAACACAAATTTATTCCGCTTTTCTATACACACAATTTTTGCAAACAGTTGTAGCGCACTCTAGTGTCAGCTTGATCTATCAACAACATAAGCTATATCACCTGGGTTAAAATTTATACCCATGTCAAAAAAACAGGCCTTTTTTTTAATACTGACTCCACTGTTAGAATAAATTTGAAGATAAAAACTTTGTAACATTGAAAATTAATTACATCGTATAGTAACTAATTAATTTTCCAAAAATAATTATATTAATTCTATTATATTAATCACATTCAATATTTTTATTAAATTAACGTTCAATTTATGCTTATATTTAATTTAACCTATAATTCTTGATTTATATATTGCGCGTATTAATCTTAACATCAAACACTTTTAAAGTCATTACACTAGACATATAACTACAGTTTTAAGACTACTGCTTTATAAACACATGTGCTGTCAAAAACAGCTGATTTGCTTATTGAACATATCTTTACAGTTGTTGTGCATTGCGGTGGAAGCATTATACAATTTATAAAAATATTAAATAAATATAAAAGAAATTAAAATGCGTTTAACAAATATGCTATTGAAAAAAGTGAAAAGCAAGTAAGTATTAATAAAAATATATATAAACAATATATAAATATTATATTGAATATTTTAATATTCTTGTCCAGGCGCGTAATGGTTCTTATGGAGAGTGTTGTTAGTAATCATCAGTTTACCGCAATGCGTGATCGTTTAGCAGATAAACTTGAATTAATACGTTTTGATCCATATAGTGAGTTAATATTATTATGTTATCTAATATTAAACTAAATATATTTTATTTCAGTACAACAAGAGTCATTGTATCGCGAGCGCAGAAGGATACGCAGTGCATAAACATGTGAACACATACATAATTAATTAATTTACATTCGTTTTAAAATTTAAAAAACATTCAACAATAAACATATGATTTCGAAATATACGAATAAAAAGTGTATTGTAATTATGCAGTAGTGCTTTCCATAAATAAGAAGATTAAGTTTACCATTCCTTTAAATGAGGAAGAGCAATACTTATGTTTTTGTTTTAAATCCACGGTTTAAAGAACGGCTAGGTCTACGTCCCGGTGCTACTCGTCGCTTAAAAAGTGGTCAGCTCTACGTTCCGGAGCTATTCGTACGACCAAGTGCTATTCAATACTTCAATAGAGAACACAACACAAAAGGTATCTGTGCGGGCCACAACAACTGCATCTCATTTATTATAGTGGATATATGCTGACAATTTCGAAGTTCCATTTTTTTATAAATTAAGAACCAATATTACAACTAAAAGTCACAACTAAAGTCTTAATACTAATTTAAGTCATGCTTAAGCAATCAACTTTACTGATTTAATTTATACTTAAGTCAGTTTGGAGATTTAAGTAACGGGTATGAAATCGCCACTTCAGTGGTGATACCTTTAGTATTAAAACAGTTATAATTAAAGTTAAGAAAATTAATTACGTTACTATTATAATCGAAATATAGCTGTACATATATTCACAAAGAGTTGAATTTGCTTTGGAATTATCTGATAAGTATGTAATTACTTACAAAGCAATATGCCGTCTTTAAAGCAGTTCATTGCCTAAACAATATCAGCTTGTGTCAGAATTAGCAGAGTTTTTATTTTAAAACTAATTATATAGTCATAACTGCATACAACTATAGGCGGTTGTTGTTGTAAATAAACGGTAAAATGCTTGCCTGACTTTGACTGGAGAACTGAACTGCAATTAAACGTCTTTGGAGATTGTGTTTCCAGTCGGTCTTGGAACCACCATGTACAGTTCAAGAGTTCACAGCTCTTGTTGTAAAACTGGGGGTAAGCTGGGAGTCAGAACTTCTGTAATAGTTCTTAAGTTATTGAGTTATAATAACAACAACAACAAAAACAATCGATAGGTATAAACATACTCTTTTCATTGGTCCAGATCCTTTCTGTGAAGTGACAAATAGCTTCAGAAATAACTTAATTTGTGAACGGGAGAAACGAAATCTACTTTGACACTGGAGCGCCCAAACAGGCATGCGGCAGTCAAGGAGATTTATTGATCCTGAACACATCAAAGTTGACACTATTCTAAATTTTATGATATTAAACTCTACACTGAACTACTTACAGGACAATATAGACTTAATTATCACGAAGAATATAGGTGTGGTGGAATGTGATTGCTGTCGACTTTGTCATGAGAAGAAGGAAACATCAATACATGCTATATACGGATTTGAGTTTAATCTGCATTCAAATGTAGGAAGTTTTTGATCTTAAGTAGCGGGACCACCAATAGGATGAATTTTTCTATGTCATTTGTTTACATTTATTTATATGGTATAGCAGTCACATAAATGGGTAAAAGTAAATCTACAATTTGTGTGCACGTTGAATTGGCCGTGTTTTTGTAATTAAATAATTAAGTAATTAGTTATATTTGAATCTGGAGATATTAATAGACCTGATGTTTATTCTAACTAAGATCGCTTCTATTGTATTTAGCTATGAGTTTCGTTGTTTTATACTTAAGTTTGCTGTTTTTGTGTTTAGTTGTTAGTTTCTCTGTCTTCTTATTGCACTGAAGCCACTTGGCTTTTTATTAAGAATCTTTTGAAGGTTGCTGTCATCTAATTTCTAAATAACGTAACCGAGTCATTTTATACGTTGTGCTATGACAAAACACTTGTCCAGTTCGGCGTTAAAACAAAAGCTAATAATATTATCTTTTATCTCCAGGAGTTTACACACGTTTCTAAGTATTTTTCGTATTAAGAATGAACGAAAAAAGAAAACGACAAAGGCAGATATTAATGTCTTGCGGACTATAGTCGTCCACAAAGATAGATAAAACTGTCTTCCGGACGATAGTAATTCACAAAGATAGATAAAACTATCTTATGGACCCTGTAGTCGATAAGCAATAAGTCTCAAGTCAAACAACAGTGTTGCATGGGGCGATAACGTTAAGCAAGCATTGCCTTATTTGGTGCTATAACGCCTACCGTGCAGATTGAAAAATCTATTATAGATGCATGATAATAATTTTTGGTTTACTTGCAGTCTTATATCATGAGTGTTAATATCTTATGTTAGAAACGGGTGTGTTATCGTTATATATACTTTAAATTTGGTTTCTATTTTTAGGAGTTTCGACTTAAAATGTGTTGAGTGTGCGCAAGTTAATATGAGGAGATGTATTACATGTACTAAAAAACCCATGACACCGATATACTTTATATTAAAATAATAAATTTTACATTACATTGAATATTTAATTTAATTAGTTTCCATTCACTTTGTTTAATTTTTTGAGCTTCAAAATTAAAATTTTTAACATTTTTATAGTTACTAATTTGACATAAATCCAATTTCCTAGGATTATTTATTTACAGTTTATACTAAGCCATAGAAAATTGTTAATGACATTGCGGAAAGGCAATGAAACGTACCTTGTTTTGCTGTGAAGCTCATGGGAAATACATTGAAGCAATATTTCCACTTATTCATCGATCGAAACCTTTCAAATGCGTCTTCCTTTATTGATTCTTTTTCAAAGAAGAGCAAAATTAAAATTAAATTAAAATTGGTATTTCTTGAAATATTCAAGAGAATTCTATAATACATAGTTTACAACTAAAATGTATATTTGAAGTCAGTTAAAACCGAAATTAAGAAGATTTGTATGTTTTCCGATGTATTTTGAACCACTTAACTAGAAAATCAAATTGAAAAATTGTTTATGATTGAGATAACCTTGTATCTCGAGTAAAAAACATTCTATTCGAATATGAAATTAGAGTAAATCAAATTACCAAAGTGAAATAATTATTATTTTTATTTTTCAATGAAAGGCAATTTCAAAGAAAAATCGCTTCTAGTTTTAAGATATTGCTGAAGGCATACATAAGGGCTTTTGTGGTTCACACTCATCTCCAATATTCCGAACAATTTAACACCAAATACAATATTAATGGTTTTTCAGTTTTATGTTTGTATATGAATTCTCAAACTCCCGTTAAAATGAGTTTGTGGCTAGATGTGTGCGTTACGAAATCATTCCAAATTATTTTATCTATAGCTTTGACCAAGTCGGGCTTGTATTTCGCATATTGTCTTTAGTATCGTTTGTTTCAGACATTTATATCTTTTGCGATTGTCATTTGAAGTCAATACCAAGTGTGAGTGTGACTTCTTAAAAAATTAAAACATATTAGTATCTCTATTGTTATTAACCCGACTTTTCGACAGAGATCATCAAAAGGGATTACAGGTATTTTTGGTTAACTTATAGGTGTTAAGACTTTACCATATACTTTTTCATCATTATTTTTATTGCATACATACATATTTGACGCGAATGTGAATATAAACATAAAGTGTAGAAAGGAGAATTTGTTTGAGTTTTATTAAGATAGTAGGGCTGAAAGGTTTGTGTCTCATAGCTTAAACAAAATTAATAGGTAGGGGGTGTCAACGTAAAAAATATCAGAGGGAAATGATCGAATGGGGTAAAGTGTTTTCTAGCTAGAGAAACTAAATAATCGTCTAAGAGAGTTAATTAGGGTAAGGTATCTAGATGGTGCTTGCTAGTAGAACTAAGCTTATAGTTGATGCAATCACGCAATAGTTTTGTTTTAGAACAGTTAATTTCAGATCAGTTTGGATATACCATACATATGCATAGAAAATTATTTATAACAATATATCGTCAAATTTTGAGTGCTCATGTATATATTTATATATGTATATATATTCAATCTATAAATCCAACATATAATATATTAATATTATTCCATACTCCATTAGGAGCTTAAAAAATCCACAAAAGTTACCCTACAGTTTCTATTTTGTGTTTTTTTATCTTAATTTGTTAAACGATTTGTGCTGTTTTCCTCCTGGTCATTTTAGGTCTGCCACTGTGTCATGTTCTTTAGGGTTTGCAGGTAAGCACGGTATGGTGATGTCATCATAGGGTTTACGTTATGTATGCCCTATCTACCCATATTTTCGCTTTCGTATATCATCGTTTATATTTACTTGGCTTGTGACCCTCTATAACTCTTCGTTTGTTGTCGTTCTGGATTACCGAACGTTGGGTTATCCGAACGGTGTTTGCGAAATCTGACGTTTGTAGCTTGCTTTTAGTTTCAGCAGTCACGAGCCAGGTCTCAGAGTTCTAATATATAAATCAATTTTAAAATATTGAGTACTCTTTGACTAATAAATTTTTTTAGGTTAATCATTCTTTGACACATTTCATCTCGGTAAATATTCCATACTTAATTTGTAGTTAATTTAAAATAAATAAATTTAGTTGCATTACTTGCTCTTAATAATTTTTTCATTTACGTATTGTGTCATTACTTAAGTTAAATTATTAAAATGAGCTGTGGAAATTTTGTCGTAGCGGCAACCCTTAAAGAAACACGTTGAAAACTGTCAGATTTGGAACGCTAAACATCAAAAGCTGCAACCACAACTCCATTTACTCGTGCCATGCTCATACCTAAGGGTGCTAATGTGTCAGAGTATCAGAATGTAAACACTAACCTACCCCATTCAAAATTGCTTTGAATGAAACTTCGTTAAGTTTACTCACGCAAAAGCTTTTGCAAAAGATTTCGCTCCTTTTTTGTTTTCCAAGGCAGATTCGTTTTTGCAATTTTATCAATTAAATCTTCCCCTGAGCTTTTGGACTGCTGTTTTGTTGTTTTGATGTTACCACTTCATTAACACTTCTTCAGTCTGTTGAATGGTGAGTTTTCCATATGGCTTTCTCTTCAATATTTTGATTTATGCTTCAAAATAATAAGTTTTCTTTAAACTAAGCTCATAAATTTCCTTAATAATAATATATATTAGCAGATAGAAAACTCTCTTTATAGTTTTATTTTCTAATAAAAATCATTTAATCATTTACGTTTATAGTGGAAAATGAAGTAAGTAAGAAAGGCATGCCAGTTG